TAAATAGAAAAGGCCAGAATGAGAAAGAGACAGAAAGAGAGAGAGAAAGAGCTAGCAAGAGAGAGAATTGGAGTAGGAAATCAGTAAGAGAGGACAAGAGAGTACGAAGCGAATCAAGAGTCAGAAATACAGAAAAGAGAGAAAAGAGAGAAAAGAGAGAGAGTGAGAGAAAAGAGAGCAAGATGGAGCAAGGATTAGCTTGGTCAATCAGAGTGAAAAGGAGAAAGGGAGAGAGGGGGGAGAGATAGAGATGGAAAAATAAATGTTTATAAATTGAAGTGAGAAATGTAAATAAATGCGATTCTCATACAAAGGAGTTTTGTATAAATCTTGTAATACTCCCAGGCCGTATATAATCTGATTTACATATGTGTGGATAAAATATGTACATTCAATTACAAGCATTTACAGGGTATTACCTCTATATACATACATATGAATGTTGGCAATAACTTAATTAGTTTTCTCAGCTTAATTAACTAAAAAAAAAAAATAGCGAAGGCAATTAAAAAATTTAAGAACAAGAAATTATTTAAATTGAGTTTTGGTGTGAAAATACCAAATGGTGGCTAAAGAAAATCACTTGTAATAAAACTCTAGGGCTTGATACCTCTGCATAACTGCAACTACCCCAATATGGTATCTGTGGGCAATGCTGTTCCATAATAACCCAGTTGAACCTGCACTCGAGTATGCACCCCTTCCCCCTTCCTCCCCTGTAAAAAAAAAAAAAGAGAAACTTTCGAATTGAACTTTCCCGCCAATTGCAACTGCTGCCCCACCCTCTCAGCCGCCTGCGCCCTGCCCCTCGTCCCTCGGTGTGCAGTCGTTTGGCGCCTCTGTCAATTATTTATTGCAGGCGCTATGCCATATCTTTTAGATACGCCCACAGGTCGATGTGGCTGCGGGTCGCTCGTAGTGCTCCATTCCATTCGGAACAAAGTTACGTTGCGTTTAGAATTTATTAATACACAGTTGTACTTTATATTTTTAATTGAGCGTTGCCAATTCGTTTGGCGCCAATTTCATTTTCACGCCCCATGGCGCCAAACACTTTGCAAATTGAATGCTGCCCTCCAAACTTTATGGCCGTTTTCCCTACGAATATCAGCGATATACATGTATAAAAATATCTTTACATGAAAAGTATCTTTTCATAAAATTATGTTTATTTCTGTGGCATTGATTGCATTCATTGCGATACTTTGAATAGATTTCTTATGTATATATATATCCGTAACTAGCTCTCGCTAAACTCAAACTGACTGAAATTGGGTATACCTTATGTTCATCTATTCCCGCACATACACTGAAAATTTTAAGTGAGTTACCTCAGCAGAAGTCGAGTTATGCATAGGTCTGCGTGTCACTATGAGATATGACGACCTTCAGCCCATGAAAACTATTTGTGTCTTTGGGTAAAAAAGCGCCTGCAGCTTGAATGAATATGAATGTAAATTTGATTATGGACATCGACAAATATCCCCCATTTCGTTAACTAATGATTGGCCAAGAAATTCCAATCCGAGCGCTTTCACTGCACAAAATGCCAAAGCTGGAAGAAAAATTAAATCAAATACATAATTAGCCATTATAAAAAGGAGGCAAGCGATCAGCCCAGGGTCAAAGCTAAATTAATGGGCCTAACTTAGTGATAACTAAATGTGTGCTGAACTGTTCAATTGAGACACAAAATACAAAATACAAAACAGAAAACAAAAAGAGCTAGCGAAAAACTCACTCGGAACCGGTTCCGAGCGCGAGCCAATTAAACGGAACAGGTGAACAAAGTGATCAAAGCGTTATAAAACTGTGAACTCTGTGCAAACAAAACTAAAATAAATAAATTTAAAAAAAGAAAAAAGTTAAAAATATAAGAAGAAGAGTTAGAAAAAGCAAATATGCGCCGCGTTCATTTATCAAGTTTGAAATCCGCGCTAATGATTCGACGAATGCGTGAGCGAATGCCCGCTCAAGAAGCGAAAAGAGAGCATATAGGTTTTGTGCAATAGATGATTGGAGCTGAAATGAACTGACTGTCTGTCGTTTCGTCGGCTTGTACTTCCCTGAGACTGTCCGTTCGTCCAGGTGTCGCGCTTCCTTTATGACCCTCCGTCCATCCATCTCCGACAATCTGCCCTCCGTAGGCCTGTTTTTCCTTCTATCTGGCCATCTTCTATCTGTTTCGTCGGACTGTCTCTCTATCCATCTGTGTAGCCCTCCGACAATGTGTCTTCTTTCTATCTGGCTCTCTGTCCGTCTCTTATTCCGTCGGACTGTCTCTGTATCTGTCTTTTATCATTCCGTCCGTCTATCCGTTTCCGACAATCCAACATCTGCTTGTACGTTTGTGCTTCCGTATGTCTGTCTGTCCTTCTATCTCTCATTCTCTCCGTCTATCATTCCGTCCGTCAGTCATTCGGTCTATATTAGTCTGCATCTTAGCCAAGTCAAGCTGTGAAATCTAGAATTTGAATTGTGCTGGAAGCGAGTATCATGCAGTCAGTCAGTGTTGAGCTTGTAGAACGTTTCTTGTTTTATGCTTAGCGAACTACAACAACAACAACAACAACTAGAATCAATAATCAATATCTACCGAGATTTTTGTTTCAGGCTTTGCACGATTTTTATGCAAATGAAATATTTTTTTAGCTTTTGCCTAGGCGACATTGTGTCTCGTCTTGTTTCCCATTAAAAATGCTAATTTCCTAAATATTTTTGGCTAAAATATCAAATGAAATTTAGAGAAAAAACTACAAAAATTTTGTTTGCTCATTAACAAATGAATTAGCTAAAAATAAAAAAAATAAAAATCCCCTAAAAAAATCAACATTTACGCATAAATATCAAATACTATCAAATAAAAACATATGTATGTGAAATCTAGCCGAATGAAATGAATTAAGTGATACTACGAACTGATATTACGATTCGAGAGTTTCCCGAACTCAGAAACCGCAAAGTTCCTAATAAAAATTAAGGAAAAATAAATAACATTTCAAAGAAATTTGGGACTTTCGTATTTAGGACTTTCGATCTAAATTACAAAACTTTCGAGTGAAGAACTAGCTTAGCATTTGTTAATACAGAGTATAACCTAGTCATGCACACACTTACTAGCATAGTTTTGATTCAAGTTCAACAGAAGTTGTTCAAGAGATATGACTATACCTATGCCTAACTCGAGCTTCTAACATGCGATTCATATCAAATAGGTATCAAACAAGAGGTTTTTTGAATACGTACGAAATACTCCAGAAAACAGTTGGTATAATAGGATAGTTTCGGCTGAAATACATGATATATATGGAACATACTCACACTCATGTACTCATATTAGGTCAAGCAAAAAATTTTCTTATTTAACAGTCTATACATAAAATTCTATTTTTAGCTCTGTAGCCTATTCATAACTCGAGTTGTTGATAAACTTATCGGGAACCGTCTATGGGGTAATAATTCATAATATCCTATCATATGCTAGAGTTATGTCATACGTAATAGTCAAAATATGACAAGATAATATAAATAGACCTTTCATAACTCGACTTTCGAACATGAGAAAAGTCTAAAATATTTCTTATTGACTTTACTGCCAAAAAGAACCAGTTATATCAGTTATTCATAACTGAAAATGCCAATTTGAGTTTCGGAGAAAATGTCCCGTTTAATTGATTTGCCTTTTTCGAGTGATTACTGTACTCGAGGTGTCACCATAATCTTGAGAGCCTGTCATATCGTAGCAATTGGTTAATTTTAGTAGAATTATCTAATCGTACCGCTAAGATAGATTATGGGCCTGCATAAAACACATTCGCATAGGTGAAATTTCTAGATTGTTGCAAAAAGAAAACAACAAAAAATCATACACAACTTGCATTCAACTTATGCGACAGCAGAAGGAAAGACAACATCGAAACAGCTACAAAAATTGTGACGAAACGACGCTGACTGCGACGTAAGCAGCACATTGCGCTGCGCTGCTGGCCGTGCAGCCTGCAGCGGCTGCTGGCCTCAAATGAAGCTTCCCCTTAAATTTAATGTTTTGTTTTCGCTGCGTCCCGTTCGCACTCGCATGCTTGCCCTCTCGCTCATCAGCATGTTCAACTTCCGTTCGTTTTATAGTAAAAAAGTAAACGAGAGCAGCGCAGCAGCTAGCAAGTGAATTTCTACACATACAGTGGCACGAAAAATGCGCGCGCTTTGCACACACTCACACAGATACAAATACTTTGAAATAGAAACCAAAACAAGAAACAGTTCGGAAACGGAACATGTTTGGCTCTCTTCACTCTGTGAAAAGTGACAGCGCGCGAATGAATTGTGGAGCGTATCTGTGGAATGCGTTGCAACAGAATGAATCGCATCAGCTCGATCGGAGGCAAATAGTTGAAATTCCATTCCTGTCTTTAATTGGGCGCACTGAACAAAATCCAAATATGCACAATAGGGAAAAAGAAGAAAGAGAGTAAAAAAAATCTCGAACACTCGAGAAAGAAATGCTCTCTGAGTCACAGTTGTGCCACAAAAACAAGTGCGTCATTTGGCCATAAATAATGCAACAACTGTTAAAGCGAACTGCAAGGCGAAATAACGGTACGCTAATTGATTCTTTATACGCAAATCAGAGCTCAATGATAGTCGAAGGGGCAAGCTGGGGCAGCGTCGCTGGTGTTCTGCTATTCCTCTTTGCACTGCGTACGATCAATGCCTCTAACGGTGCATGCGCTGCTTTGGCGCCGGCGTCGCTGTCCGAACATAAATTCGTGTCCATGCGTGTGTGTGTGCGAAACAGCAAGGAACTGGCAGACTTGATGCACTGCAATTGAACAGCGAATGGCCCACAGTCCACAGCAGCACAGCAGGCGACCCATTTGGAATTGAAACGCGCGCTCTTGGCTCTCTCTCTGGCTGTGTGCGTTTGTGTGTTTCACTTGCCAGCAGTAGCAGAGCTCTGTGTACATTTTCTGTGGCTTACTCGCTAGCGTCTTGTTCCAGCTCGTTCAGTATCATTTAAAACTTTTCACCGTTTGGTTCGGAGTGCGCTTCGCGAGCAGCAAGATATATAACAAACGGGCCAACAAAATAAATCGCCTGTCGGCTGTCGTTTCTGTTTATTCTCGTTTTTTGTTTTCACTGTGTATTCGATTACACACTCTCCTTTTGGATTTTTTCGCAACGCGCGCGCCAAACTGTAAAAGGAAGCATAATATCAAAACCATAAATATTATTGTATTTTCTCGTCACTCAGTCAAAACTAAAATAACTGTTAAATGTTAACTGTAAACTCAAGAAATGGTGAAGTAAATGCAAACCAAGGCAAAGAGCCTACCAAATACAACGGAACCTCTTCAAAACAAATGCAAATCTAGAAAGAAAAACGCAAACTGAATTCAAAAGAAATCCAAACAAACACATTACAAAACCCATTACATTGTAACGTGTAACGTTCAGTATCAGTGTTAGTGTCCGTGTTCGTATCCGTGTGTGTGTGTGCGTGCGCTCTGTTTGGCTCAGGATCGAAGCTCCTATCCAACAGCCCCCACCGCCCCGCAGCCCCCGAAACGGCCTACTCATGAAATGCAAAAGCTGGTCCAATAAAATCAACAATTTTGTTGTGCGAAAACTAAAGTCCATTAAGGTAAATATTAACCACAAATTTTCAGATCAACCCAAGTTTCCTTAAAAAGAAAAAAAAGAAAAAAAAAACAACAATCCTCGAAAGCGGACGCAAAATATGTGTATTATTTGATGGCCTATAGGAAATTATTATAATTCCCTAATAAAAACTAAATGAAATTTTTTTTGTTTTCTCATGTCTGAGTTTTTTCTCGGAAAATTTTAAATTTCTCAATTGTTCGAGAAAATTACAAAAGCTATTCAATTATTCTCCAAAAGTTAAGATAAAAAGTATTAAAAAAATTATATATTTTAATTACAATATAAAGAAATAAATAAAATACTAAATTTACAAATAGCAATAATGAATAGAAAATTCAAAAAAATAAAAAATTTATAAAATAAAAAAAAATGAAAAATCAAATATAATAGTGAATCAAAATAAAAAATAAATAAGGCTAATCCTATAAAAATAATGTTACAATTTTATTATTATTATTATTATTTTTTTGGCAAATAAAATTAAATTCGTATAAACCAATTTGAAGAGAAAGAAAAAATAAATAAATAAATTGTGTATAGAATGAGAAAATTATAAATATCAATTATATATATATATATAACAAAAAATAAATAAAAATTTAAATTAAAAAAAAAACTTTAATGTACAAAATAATAGAAAATAATAATAAGAATAATAATAAAGTAACATTAAAAAAAAAAATAATAAAATTATTTATAATATATAAATAAAATTAAAATTAAAATAAATATTAGTATGCAAACTTTAACGAAAAAGAAATTATTTGCAATCGTATTTTTAAACTTATTACATTTTATTTATACGCTTAATAATATATGGAAGTTAAAAATAAATGTAGACATGCCATAATTTTGCCAAAAAAAAAAAATCGAAACCAAAAGTATTTAGAAAATTGTTGTTAGATTGTTGAACAAAACAAACAAATCAGAATAAAAATTGTTTTGCTGGCAGCTGATTTTAATTGTTTTTTGTTGTTTGTTTTTATTGACAATTAAAATGAGCGCAAGACGAAAACAACTAAATAATAAATAAATTTATTTATTTATTTCATTTTTACTGTAATTGGCCTCTGTTCCCCTTCCCTTACCGCTGCTCATTGCCCGCTCTCCAGCTTCCCGCTCTGCCCACTCCCACTCTGTTTCCTTTTGCGCCTTTCACTTGTGCATGTCACACACACATACACACATACACCAATGCATATTTTATAATATTTATTTACATTGACGTTGACGTCGCCGTCGGCGTCTCAGTTGCCGTCGCAGCCGCGCCCGCCATTTGTTTTGTTTACTACAGGCTTTTTCCCAGCCGTTGTTGTTGTTTTTAGTAGTGTTATTATTGTCTCCTGTGTTGTGTCTTGTCTTTTGCCTTCGTTTTCGTTCAACACATACACACACACACACACACATTTTGTTTTGTTCTCCGCTTCCTTGTCCTTGTCTCGCCTACCTACACACGCTCGATATGCGTGTGCGTATCCATGTGTGTGTGTGTGTGTGTGTGTGTGTATGCATGTATGCTTCGTGTTTTTCCACCCGACTTTTGTTGTTTATTTTTACATCTCGAAGTCGACGTCGTTTTACGCGCTCTCTTGTGGGCTACAAATTCTTGAAATTCTTTTTGTGTTGTTTTTATTTTTGTTGTATGCTTCGTGTGTGTTTGTGTGTGTGCACACATTTTTCCAGCGGGAAAAACGAGTTTTTCCAGGCAGCGGCAGCGCATGCATTCTTCTTCTTGCTTGTTTACAGTTAGGAATGCGGGTGCCTCTTTAAAACAAAAACACAACAGAAAAAGAGCAACGAAAACAAACCGCTTACTGGCGCGCTCTCTCTCTCTCGGTGTGTGGATTGAATTGTTGTGGAAGGTAGCATTTAATTTCAAGGGGTCGGGGGGGCGATTGTTATGTGGATGCCATTTATGTCTATGGCAAAGCCTAGACACTATTACATATGTACGTATGTACATATATACAGACAGCAACAACAACAATTATGAAGCATTAAAACCTACAATTACCAGGCGCTTAGGTTCGTTCTCTTGTGCGTGCTCGCTTGCGCTCTCTCTCTCTCTCTCTTGGCCGCTGTGTGCTCTCACGACCTGACGCACAACTTGTTCGCCTTGTAAAGAAGAAAAAAATTGAAGGCGCCAGCGCCGAGCAACAACAATAACCACAAATCTCATTGAGCGGCGGCTGCGCTGCTGTGGCCCCATTATGCACATAACATCGAGTCGGTTCGGCTTGACTCGGCTCGCTCTCTCTTGCTCTATTCGCAGCTCTCTCGTGCGCTGGTGCTGCGGCTGCGGCTGCCTGCTGCTGGCTTGTTGGGGCCCACATCATTTTGTGTTTTTCACTTCTGATTAGTTTTTGTGACGCTTTGAAACCGGACGTTTCGTTTCGTTTCGATTGTGCACGCGTTTCGCTCAAAACAGACGCACGCACACAAAAACACACACATATACATGCGAAACGCCCCAAACTTGTGTGTGTATGTATGTTTTGATTATCAATGTATGTGTTCGCGCTTTGCTCTCTGTGCGATTAAATACACCGCAAAAGGCCAAACAAATTACATAAAAAATAAATAAATAAAAGGAAGCAGCAGCAGTAAAGTTTTTGTTTCATAAATTGTTGTGTTTGTGGTTTCGTTTTCATTGCGTTCTTGTGCTTCGCTCTAAATTCGTTCAATAGCCTAAAAAGAAGTTCCTAAATACACACACATATAAATATATATACATACATACTGCCAACAACAACGTCATCATCGTTTTCTTGTTCGTGTGTGTTCCTGTTCATTCGTCGTGGAAATTTTTGCCTTTGCGAAAAAGTCTAATAGAAAAAAATATATAAATAAAAGTAAGTTTTATAAAAAAAAAAAATATTAAAAGTGCAAATAAGTGCTGAGAAATTGTGTGTAAGCAAAAATATATTAAATACACACACAGACACACACACACGCAGGCACGCACACAGATAAGGAAATACGCGCGCGCATCTTCTTCTTACTAAGTGTGGCAGACTCTCAGTGCGTGGCCCATTGGAATTTGTACCGTAAAACGCAATTACAACATAAAATACACAAACAGAGCGCGCGTCCAATGTAAACGACGTAAGTCAAACAGAGATGAAGAGAGCAAGCGAGCTTTGGCGTGTGTGTGGGTGTGTGGGTGCGAGTGAGCCAACGTTCGCTTACTCGTTTACTCCAATTGGAATGTTTGCAGTTTGCATTTGCATTTGCTTTTCTGTTTTGAATTTGTTGTTGGGCCTCTTGCGTTTCTGTTTGTGTTTGCATTGCGTGCATTTTCATTCATAAGCGCATTTTTACAACTTCCGCTTAGCAGAAAGAGGAAGAAGCAAAACAACAGTTATTTACGTGCGACTTTTGTATTTTTCCATTTTTTGTTTTTGTTTTGCTTTGCTTTTTTTCGATTTGGGTTTGGTTTAGCTCGCAGTAGGCCTTGATTTAGTTATTAAAACGAAAAATCCTGCGTAACTATTTATCCCAAACCGTAACACGTTCAAATCGTTTTCTCCGTTTTGTTCAACTCTTTTCACTTTTTCTTCAACATTCTGTTTTGCCTTTTATTGCTGTTGTGTCTCACCTTCGGTGCTCACTACTTTTACACGTTGTCGTCGAAAAAGGAAGCCGCGGGCCCCACAACTTCATTTTAAATTCTCTCAATGCAGGTATCGTAAAATCGTAGAATCATTAAATCACTATATCTATATATATATATATATGTCACACATACATTATATGTATACAGAACTTGGATCGGGTTTTGCCCGTGGTCTATAGCGAAACCTACCCCACTCCACGTCCATCACAAATTATGCTAAACATGTCGCCAGAGCGCCAAAAAAAAAAAAAAAAAATCAAATAGAAATAAAAACAAACAAAAATTGTAATATTTTAGATACACTCGCTCGATCCCCCAACAACTACAACTACAACAAATGTATCTTTAATTCGTCTATAAATAGCTTCACGCACATCAAAAAAATGCTTAACAAAAATATTTTTTGCAAATTTTTCCATGCGAAATTCTTCTCATCTCAGCGAATTTGTTTTTCTTTCAAATTAGACGCATACCAGAAAAAAGTGAAAGGTGTTTCAGCTAGGGAGGGAGAGAGAGAGTGAGTGAGAGAGCAAGAGCGAGGAGGGGATTAAAGTGAGATGGTAATAGTTGGATATTATGCGATTTGTTTAACAGTTTCATTCAGAAGAATTTCGTCTGGCTCTCAAGTGATTCTGAGTAGAATATATAAATATGATATGCCTAACAGATTCTGAGTTTCTAATTCAGTATCTGTATTATAATAATATATATTAGCAAATTCAGCGTAAATGCATTTAAAGACTAGATCAGACTAGTTAAGACTAGTTCATATAGGTAAGATCTCAGCTATAAGTAGTCTAACTTGTTTCAATTGAACAGCTGTAACTAATACTAATTCAGGGCGAGTCTATCATATTTTGTTCTGTCTGGTAACTCATGTCATTTTCGTAATACCAATCACAGTTATAGACACCTATGTCTGGTATCTTTTAGTCCGTCACTCTCGGCTTAACTTCAGTCTTTTCTTTCTCTTTTGGGCTTACGTGCTCAACAACACGTTCCATGCAACCAAATCGGAATATAATCTTCTATATGTGCATATATACACATATATGTATATACCTGATGTGTCTATCTATTTTCTTTTATAGTTAATGCTCTTCTTCATGTTTATGATTAAATAAACACTTTTGTTTATGTATTCCTCTATCGCTGTCTCTTTCTCTCTCTCTATCTGTCTGTGTCTGCGTATATTTAGCGCAATTTGTGCTTTTAGAGGCTGCCAATAGACACCTTGTAGTGCCGCCTTCATCCGATCTCTCCCCGACGTCGCTTCCACTGCATTTTTTGCATTTCTTTTCTTTCTTTTCGCTTTTTCTTTTTTTTGCTGCTATTTTCTCTCAATTGGCTAGACGAACAACATTTTTATTTATAAAATCAAAGTGGGCGAGAAGGGGGCGTGGTAGCGGTAGGTGGGCTTCTGTGTTGAAATGGCGACGAAGCGACAATAAAATAGATTCATTTAAATGTCATTTTCGTCTAGACGACGGCGACGACGACGACGACGACAGAGATCGGATCGCATTAGAATATATATAGATCTATAGGTATATATAGAGCATGCCTGTGTGTGTGTGTGTGTAGAGAGAGAGGGGTATGTTTGCGCTTGGCATACCCCCTGGCTCGCTCATATGTTTTCTGTGCTAAGCACGCCCACGCATACGCCCCAAACGAGGGGGCGCGTTCCAGTTGTTGTTGTTGTGATTTTCTTCTTCGCTTTCATTTGAAAATTTTCCAAATATTTCTGCTAGATACACTGGCAGAAAAGAGTGGGTTGTACGTGAAGTTAGTAAATTCTGATGTTATATAAAGAGTAAATATCTAAATATAATCTATATAGTATAAAAATCCATTCAATACATAAATTATAAGAAATCGAATTAATAAAATTAAATAAATTATAAATGAAATACATTTATTAAGCATTCTTAACTTCTGCCCTTGTCGCTCAGTGTACTGCAAAAGCTGACAAGCTTCAATCAGCCGATCATATAGAATATAATAATATATATACATATAATCAGATCTGGGAATCTTTTAAAAGAATTCGCCATTTGTTGCCGCTTGCTGCGCTGACATTTCCTGCTACTCTTTCTGCTTCTTCTTCATTCAGTATGGTTGTGTTATATATTTTTTTATGGGTTTTTAACCAGTTTTGCTCTGTGACGCAGATGCGGCCCAAAATGTAGCTAATTAGCAAAAGGAAAGATCAAATCAGAAATCAAATCAAATCGAATCTTGTATCAGAAATCAGAAATCAAAAATCAAAAATCAGATTCGAGCTATAAAATGTCGAAATCCAAATAAAACCAGGCTGCGGCAGAGTTCAAAAATAAATATATGTATATATAAAAAGTCAATAAATATATATTTAATTCATTTGTTCTTTCTTTCCGAAATATATCGAATGTATTGCATAATTCGATACCCTGTATATTGCAATTCATTTCTTGGAATAGTTTGCAATACAAAATAATCTGGAAACTTGTTTCTCTCTGTATAGATCTCAAGTATTGACTATAGAGATACCCTGAAATATGTCAAGTTTCCTTATAATCATAAGGTGTTCGCCTTAACTATACCCTGTAATTCTGAGAAAATGGTACTGCTGCATAGTTGTCGAGTGCACGTTTATAATATTGATATGATTATTGCCTAATAGTATATATACACGGCAAATCTGAACAATCTAGCTGCTATAGTACCCAAGTTCCCTGGGGTCAAAAACGCGATTTGCCAATCAAAAGCGACCTACAGAAAGTGAGCTCTAACTGCACTTGCTTTAGCATCGATTCCATTCAGTTTGACATTTGGTTGCGCTGATTAATTCACTATACCCTGTAAAAATGTCAAGTTGTACACATTCTTTTGTGTGCTCGAAGCTCGGTTCCATTTTTCCATTGTGGATTTCGACTTGAATTAGTCGCTGCTTCGGCTGCTGCTGCTGACTTTCATTGACGCATTTGATCACCTTGTTTTTATTTAAATTCTGTTTTGTTTTTATTTGATTTGAATTTGCGCTTTTTGCTTTTGTTTTGCATTCGTTTTGCATAATTTGATAATTTTGCGTTTTTACGATAGCGGCAGGAAAAAAAACCCGTCGCAGACAACGCGACGACGTCTGGGCCAACCCTATCCCCAAAGCCCCCTCGCCCCAGGTCCGCACCCGATCCGCTCGGATCACGCCACAGAAACGCGATTTCTTCACCTCAATTCTTGATGGTTAATAGAAATGTAAACAGGTGGGCAATGAACTTGATTAGATTTTTATGCTAGCCAAGTCCTTGAACCCGGAACAATAACAACAACAACATCAATGGCCAGCCAAGGCGTGCAAGCGAGACAGCAAATGCCAAGTTTGAACTTGACGTCAATGGTGATGGCAACGGCAACGGCGGTGGCGGCGGCGGCAGCAGAAGCAGCGCCTAAAGCATAGGCCTAAAAAGCTCAAATAAATGGCTATCTGTCTCTGTCGCACTCTCAGCATGTGCGTGTGTGTGTGTGTGGGACCTGTTCTGCTATTGTGGCTCTCTTTCAAGTTCCGCTTTGTCGCTTTGTTTTTGTTTTTGTTGAGTTTTTACTTTACGTTTTAGGCTGGTCGCGACTGCGCGCTAATTTATTGCGTTCTCAAAATCAACTGAGACACACACACATTCACACATACACACATACAGGGACACCGACACACACTGATTGATTATTACTCTATATTCGAAGCGCTCTCTCACTCTCTCTCTCTTCTCTACGGTCTCTTGCAGATTAACGGTACACAGCAGTTACAATCGCCAAGCAGCGCCGCGAGCATTGCAGCCGCCGCCGCCGTTGTCGTCTCTGCCTCGAGCAGCAGCAGCAGCAACGTTGCTGCCAACAGCATCGAGCAGCAGCAGCAGCAGCAGCAGCAGCAACTAAACACAACGGCAACAACAATGCCGGCGATGCCAAAAGAAAAAGCCACAACTGCCGTTTCGTTAAGTGAGTCAAATTTCTCAGCCCTTAAGCTGGTGGTTGTGGGCGCTATGACGACAGCGACACGCCTACAGCAACAGCAACAGCAGCAGCAACTACAGCAACAACAGCAACACCACACCTGCGGCTGTGGCGCTGTCTCAGCATCAGCAGCAACAGCAACAGCAGCAACGCCTGCTGGCCATACAGAGAACAACAACAACAACAACAATAACAACAGCAACAGCGGCAGCAACAATCGCAGCTATTGCCGCAGCAACATGTATCTGACAAACGGTAAGCATCATTTTTTGTCTCTATCAAAAAGTTGCTCACGCATTAACGCACACTCTCTCTCTCTCTCTCTCGGTGTCTGTCTTGCTCTCTCAGGTTATACTTCGCCGCTGGCAGCAGCCGTGGCCAGCAACAGTTCGTCAGTTGTGTCAACGCCGCAGCGCATTAGAATGTGTTGTCGAGAGTCGCCGTCGTACCAACGTCAGCTGCAGCAGCAGCAGCAGCAGCAGCAACAACAGCAACAGGAGCAAGCGCCTCCAGCTGCACAACAGCAACAACAACAACATCAACAACAACAGCAGCAGCAACAACAACAGCAGCAGCAACAGCAGCAGCAACAACAACAGCAGGAGCAACAACAACAACAGCAACAAGTCGCGCCACCTCCTCGCCGCTCGCCCAACGACTTCATCTTTGGCCGTTACATTGGCGAGGGCAGCTTCAGCATGGTTTACCTGGCCGTGGACATTCACTCGCGTCGAGAGTATGCAAGTGAGTACCGTACCAAGATATTGATGGAATGAATGATTGACTGGCTGGCAGAGTGTTTGAATTTTAATTCGAATTTGATTCATTCACACCTGTGCCAGTCTGTACTAAGCCCCCCCCCACACGCCCAGCCCCATTGACAGCATTTGTGGGGCTGCTTGGCGCCGGCGAGCAACTAGCGCGAAATGCGGTCGCAAATGCAGACGGCGCCAACGCCAACGCCAACGCAAGTCACCTGCTGCTGTGGCGGCGGCTGCCAACAAATCAAAACACACACCACACACACAGAGAGAGAGAGAGCGAACGGGCGAGAGAGTGATAGAGAGAGAGAGAGAGAGAGAGACGAACGCAAACTGAAACTGAAACCAGCTGTTGCTGTTGTGAAAACGTTTTTTGCATTTTTGTCGGCTGGCAAATGCTATGCGAATGCTATGTGCCAGGCGACAAAGTTGTCAAAGACAAACAGGGAGGAAGAGAAAGAGAGAGACCAACATATAGAAGTGTTGCTGATAATCCCATTTTTGCTGGTCACGCGGCAATCACGTGCATCTATCTCCCTCTCTCTCTCGCTCGCTCGTCTGCTGCTCACTCAGCGCATTCGAGTTTGTTTTGATGTATAAATATTCATGCATACATACATATTTATTGGAAATTTCATCACAGCTCGCACAGCCCAAGACTTAGGCTAATGGCATTTTTATCTCACACAAAAGCTATGAATAGGGGCAACACACACACACACACAGACACATACACCCATACTTTGCGCTGTCTTTGACGTCTTTTGATAATCAACACATCAACAACAGCAACAGCAACAGCGACGTCGACGTCGTCTCCTCTGCTCTGATAATGCTGACAGCGACGCCCGCACGCAATTGACGACAGCTTTTGCTCTATTATTATTGTTGTTGTTGTTGTTGTAATTTGTTTGTTTATCGATTGAAACAAAAAGACCGCACAGCAGGCGAAAAGCTGACGTCGTTCAAGATCAGCTGCTGCTGCTGCCGCAGCTGGTGCGTCAGTGCGAGCGAGAGAGGTGGTCAGCACAGGAACGGAACGGCGCCCGCCTCCCTTTTGCGTCTCACGTTTCACTTTCTGTGTTCCCCAGCAACAATAACTGTCTAAGCGCATTCATATCTGTCTCTCTCTCTCTCTCTATCTCTGGTGTGGCGCTTGCATGCAATTTGCTGTTTATTTTTGTGCTAAGCCAATTTGCATTCAGATTTTGCGCCAGCAACAACAACGGTAAATCAATAAACTAACAAAGTCGCGGCTTTGGCACGTGTCGCGCGCTGCTTGCAAATGCAAACGCAGCTGCAAATTGCATTGTATGCATTTTATTTCTGTACTCCCCCCGCTGCTCACTCCACTCTTGTTTTATATTTTCTTTTAATGCGAAATAACAAAAACAAGTGAAACGCGCGCAAACGGCGCGTGTCTGCAATAAGCTTTTGACTTTTTTCAGTTTGTTGTTGCCGATAAATCCCAAGTATAACGGGACAACAACAGTAGCAGCAGCAGTAGCAGTAGCAGAGGCTGCATCAGGTGCATGTAAACAAGGTATGGCGAGAAGGAAGCGGGTGAGAGAGAGAGAGGGAGAGAGAACAGCTCTGTTTTGTACTTACTTTGCGGGCAGGGCGCTTAGGAGCGAGCGAGCGCGCAAGAGTGGGCGTGCTGTGTAACTGTTGTTTTGCTGTCTGTCAGGAGGCTCAATTTGTGTTTAAAAATAGATGGCAGAAGAACAGTCGTATACAGTCGTAACAGCAGCAGAGTAGCAACTGAAGCAGCAGCAGCTTCTGCTGTTATCGTCCATCTCATTTACACTTACTGGAAAATTAACATTTACATCTCAGCTCGAAATGACTTTGCACTTTCGACTTTGCATATTGAAAAAAACAAAAACAAAAATAATAATAATAATAAGAAAAAACATTGACATTTGTTTATTGCACTCACACTTTTTGAAGGTCAACATATGTTTTGTACTTTTTTTTGTTTTTGTTTACTATTATTATTATTATTGTGCTTTATTAGCACACATTTTCCAATGGAAACGAGCGCAAACCGAATTCAGCTTGTATCACAACCGTTGTTGTTGCTCCTAATTTGCTTATAAACATTTTTATGGACTTGTCTGCAAACATGCTGCCAACTGTAACGCCCACTCTATGTCGCAGTCGCAGTTGCTATCCCTGCTGAGGGGGTATACCTAACTCCTGCCCCCTTGACACGTTCATTCGCAATGAACGCAGCGAAATTTCGTTTTCGTTTTCATTTTGTGTCACATGCGTAAGAGGTAAGCAGAGAAGAGAGAGGGAGAGAGAGCGAGAGCATGTGTGTGTGTGTGTGCTGTTGCTTTGCGGCGTCTATTTGACGCGCTACGCAAATTCTTTTTACGCATTTTCACATTGTCTGCTGTGCTATTTCATCATTGCTGGCAAAAACGAATGCGTATGTATATACATACATACATACATACATATGTATGTGAGTTCGTGTTTAATTATTGTTGCGCGCAGCTGTGTGTAGCCGTTTTTCTTACCTGAGAGATTTGTCTTGTCTTACTTCAAGCCTCAACCCGTGCTGTTCGCTCGTTCGCCCTTATCCTGCGCAGCTGCAGCAGCTGTTGCTTTTCTTCTTTGATCATGCTCTTGTCGCACCTACGCATCGACGAACTGCAACTTGTTACTGGAATGCACTGTTATATTCACAGACACATGCATATGTATGTCTGTATGATCGGACATTGAACTGCTTACTCAAAACTTCCCATATTCCATGCTCTCAAAACTTCCCATATCTCACACATACACACTGAAATCTACTCTAATTTTTTCCCACACTTTTATTTGGCCACTGAACTTGCAAAAATGTATTTCGGCGCTCTTTCGCTTGCCTCCCTCCTTCCAGCTCTGCTCGCTGCTCTCTTGTCTTGTCTTGTTACTTTTTCAGCGCTCCTTTTTCTCGTGTTCCTCTATGCTTCGTGTGTTATTTTTAATTACAGCAGCAGCTGCTGCGCAGTCGCAGCTGTCTTAAGGGTATTTAACCTCAGCTCGCTCTCTCTCTGTCTCGCTTGCTCTTTTGCTTTCTTTCGTATTAGTTTGGTTCATTCAACTCGTATCCTCTTCGCATGTCCTTCTTAGCTGTTGTTTCATAACAATGTTTGTTCTGTTGCCATTTCTGCTGCTTCTGCTTCTTCAGTTTGCACCTGCGTACACATTTTGTTTTTATGTACTGCAGCTGCCGTTTGTTAAGTATGGAGCCACGTGGCAAAAGGCCTGTTAAGCCATCCCCCTCTCCTTTCTCCTCTTTCTGTTTTTACGAGCAAATTAAGTCGCGCCAGGAAGTCGGCTGCTGCCTGTGCCTTGGCCTTGTTTTTATTATTCCACACACACACACACGCACACATGTAAATAAAGGAGTATGGGACAGAGAGCGAGAGTGAGATAGCACTATCTGCTGCTCACTTGTTGTGCAAATTGTCGTTTGTTTAACAACCAAATTCAAAAAATAAAAAAAAATAAGGAAGAAGGTCCTTGCGTGCCGTCAACATGTCGTTGGTGCCCCCGTCCTCTCCCACTGCCCAGAGGGCAATAAACTTGGCATGCAACAACAATAACAGTAAAACAACAACAGAACTGTTATGACTCAGCCGACAGCAGCAATAATGAGAGGCGCGCTCTTTGCCATATTCCACTTTCCCACATTCCGCGCATTCCACTAGCCTTCCTTCCACTAAAACTACTCCTGTTCGGTGGCTACCTGTGAGCCGTGCTCTGCCTTTGCCTCTGCTGCTGCTGCTTCTTCTTCTTCTTCTTCTTCTTCTTCCTGCTGTCATAAGCTGTTTGCTTATGCGCGACATATTTAAATGAGTTTCAAGCGAAACGTCAGTTACGTCACATGATGAGCAAGCATGATGCCGAAGAGTGACAGAGCGAGAAGGAGAATGGTGTAGGCGGAGGAGGATGTGGAGCAGGAGGAGGGGGAAACGCCGCCGCCAATGTTCTTTGCCAATTTTGGGCGGCAGTCTCTAATTAATGAAATTGAAATGCGAAACATTGCGAAATGGCACACATACACAATTTTGATTCGCCGCGGCGAATTCACAATCGACTTTTATCTTTGTGTCAGTTTTATATGTCAATTCGCCGTCGTGACAATAAATTAAACGTAAGAGCATTTAAAAAAAAGTCGCGTGGGTCGCTTTTTGGTGGAGTTACTTTTTCGCTTTTATCAGACGCGAGTAATCAGTTTTATTGCAGAGCACCTCGCCACACCATGCCCCGTGCCACCCTGCCCGCCTCTCAAACAAATCAAAAGACATTTCCAGACAAAATTTTTCCACTGAAACAATAGCAACAACAACGGGCATAATAAAACAAGCATTGCACCCCAAAAAAATAAAATGAAATACACACACACATACACTGACATGCATACGTACCGTGGTCTTGCCTGCGTTTGAATCTTAGTTTCTTTTGCTCTCCCTCTCTCTTTGATCTTTATTTACACTGTCTTGCTGCAGTTCAAACACCTCGTCTGACTTCCTGTTTAACGTGTTCCAATTCCAAAACATACCCAAACGGCCTTGCGCCCAATTAACTAACTAAGACTTTTGGCGCTCTCTCGCTCTCTAACTCTGTATGCATTGTCTGGAATGTCATCCAGCAGCATTTGCTGCTGCTGTGTACAGTTTTCTATTTTCATTGGTTTTTTTGGTCATTGTCCTCCAGTTGAGTCTTCTGTCTTATTTATAGAATCGTTTGACTCCACAACAACTGGTTACTATTGCAATTTATGTCTCCCACTGCATTGCAGTTTCGCTCTCTCGCTCTCTCTATCAAACTCGTTGTGCTGCATTCCATTCGAGACGCAACAAGTTGTAATGCACGCGCACACATATGCACTTATGCACGAGTGCCTCTGTGTGCGCGTGTGTGTGTGGACTGCATTTATTTTGGAATTTAGCTCTCTCGCTCAGACGCGTTCGCTCAGATCAGTGGGGCAAACACACGCCTGGAACATTGGGCAAATATTTATGCTGTGTTCTTGTTCTTCTTTTTGTTTTCGCCAGCTGCTATTTACTTATGTGTGTTTCTGATACTTTTTTATGTTTTATTATTATTACTTTTTGTTGTTGTTGTTGCTTTTTGCACTTGCGCTGCCGCTGCCACCACATCAAGTTCAAGGCTGTGCTTTCGTCGTCTTATCAGGGCATTAAACCCGCCAGAATAAAATTGAAAAAAGTTAATTTTTTAAACGCAGCTTAACAAACGGCGCGCAAAAATTAAAATAAATAATGTGACAACTTTTCAATTAAAACCAAACACAAAAAGAAAATAGCAAAAAGCAAGAGGCAAAATACACGCGCACTCATTTCCAATACATTCCAATTCCAATCAGCACAAAAATCAAACAATTTGCACTCCCAAAACAAAAAGAGAAAAAAATTAACGGCAACAATTTCAAGGTCAATTTTATTTTTACGCACTTTTTTTTTGCCGTGTCTCGCATTTTTTTTTTGGCATGGGAAATTTAAAACGCATAAAAAATCGCGTACGTTGTTTTATTTGTGTTAATCTTATAATTGCGGCTGTTTTTTACCGTTAGAATGCGTCTGTGTATGCATATGAGAGTGTGTTTATGTTTGTGTGTGTACCACTCGACAGCTTATCTGCCCCTGATTTGTTTTTTAGACTAAAAAACAAAATTCAGTTGCGATCTTGATAAAAGGCAAAAAATATACATATAAAAAAGCAGAAACAAACCCAAATTTAATATTTGTATTTTCTATTGCCTATACACACACACTGATTCATACGCACACACACTCTGGGCATACATATTTAAGAGATATAGTGAACGTAATTTATTATATTGAACGTTGTTTATTCGCTTTTTCGCAAATCAACAAATTTTGCGTTTTTAAGTTTTTGTTTTCTTTTCGTTTTTCCACAAGTTTTTTGCACGATAATCTTGATTCCACTTTAAATTGCCGCAGATTGCAAATTGCAAATAAAACTGTAGAACAAAGCACACAATATCTCATAGTGGGAAAAGCGCCGTTAACCTTTTCCCCTCTCTCTCTCTCTGCATCTTTTTGTCCATAGTATAGGCCAAATCTCATAAGCATTTCACATACATACATATATATATGTATATGTATTTCTTTTCTTTTTTTTTGCTCAATAAATGTTTCAATGCCAACTGATTCCACAGCCAAGCTTAATGTGTGCTTGTGTGTGTGCAGTTCAACAACCAGTTTAGAATTTCTTAGGGAGCAGCGGGGTAACTGCAAACAAGTTCCCAAAGCGCGCTCGCTTTCGTTGCTGCTGCCGCTGGCTACGCTGCCGTCGCTGCCACCGCCGCCGCCGTCGCCATTGTCGCCTGTTAATTTAGCAATTTGAACAAATTCCTTTTTTTCATCTTCCACTACTGTCTTCCCTTATTGTCCGTTGTTCGCGAGCTTGCTCTCTCTCTCTCTCTCTCTCTCTCTCTCTTGCATTCATTTCAATAAATCACACGAGGAATATGTATGCCAAATTGAAACAAGAACAGCAAAACACAGACACACATATACATACATACATACATACTTACATATATACACAAGCAAAGCGAAATTAAATCAAAGCAGAAAAGGCGACGAGAGCCACAGGGGCACAGGCGACATAAATCAAAGCTTGCTAGTTAGATAGTTGGTTGAGTGAGGCTTTACAGCGCCGACAAAGTTGTCGCCTGCACAGCTGAGCTGTACACACACGCATACATAAGTGTACATATATGTGCATACGTATACGAAATTTCGAGATGGTCACCAAAGTGTCAAAAGGTAGTAGGGCGCAACAGTGTAGCATTTTGTGTTGGACAACAGTGTCGCCTGTGCGCGAACGTATGTATAAATTGTCTCATCTCTTTTCATAAGCGTATGGGCATATGTGTATGTGTGTGTGAGCATTCCTTATGCTATCGTTCAGCAAAATCTCTATTGGAATTTTACAGTTACTGTCAACGCGGCTCTATTCATTGCTGCGCGCTCAGCTGTTTTCACATTCGACTAATCCGTTATCTCCGTTATTCTTTCTGCTTGCAGTCAAAGTGTGCGAGAAGCGCCTAATACTGAGAGAGCACAAACAGGACTACATCAGGAGAGAGCGCGAAGTCATGCACATGATGACCAGTGTTCCAGGCTTCGTCAATCTCTCTTGTACGTTCCAAGACCAGCGTTCCCTCTACTTTGTGATGACATACGCCCGCAAGGGCGATCTCCTGCCCTACATCAACCGCGTCGGCAGCTTCGACGCCGCCTGCACGCGCCACTACGCGGCCGAGCTGCTGCTCGCCTGCGAGCACATGCACCGCCGCAACGTGGTCCATCGCGATCTCAAGCCGGAGAACATTCTGCTGGACGAGGACATGCACACGCTGATCGCCGACTTCGGCTCTGCTAAGGTCATGACCCCGCGCGAGCGCCTGCAGGCGTCGGATCTGCTCGCCAGCAGTGGCAGCTGCGAGGGGCAGCGACGTCGGCGCTCCGCACGCAGCTCCGACGACGACGACGAGGACAGCGAAGAGCTGTACGATGAGCTGGACGAGGAGGAGCAGGACGACAGGCGCTTGTATTACGACTACGAGGACGAGGACAACGAGGAGGACGAGGCGCCGACGGCCAATGGCGAGGGAGTGCGCAGCAATCGCCGGCGATACCCTAACATGCGAGCGCGCCGGGGTAGCTTCGTGGGCACCGCTCAGTACGTCTCCCCGGAGGTGTTGCAGAACGCGCCGATCACACCGGCCGCCGATCTCTGGGCACTCGGCTGCATCATCTATCAGATGATATCGGGTCTGCCGCCGTTCAGGGGCAGCAACGACTACGTCATCTTTAAGGAGATCCTCAGCTGCGCCGTTGACTTTCCGCAGGGTTTCGACAAGGACGCCGAGGACCTGGTTAGGCGGCTACTCAAGATTGATCCCCGCGAGCGCCTGGGCGCCCAAGACGAGTTCGGCTACTACGAGAGCATCCGGGCTCATCCCTTCTTCGCCGGCATCGACTGGCAAACGCTGCGCCAACAGACTCCGCCTCCCATCTACCCCTACCTGCCCGGAGTCAGCCAAGATGATGCGATATGCACGGTCAACGGCGTCAGCTACAATCAGCCCATCAGCGGGGATCTGGAGCCGGGACTGGACGAGCGACAGATCACGCGGCTGCTCAGCGCCGAGCTGGGCGTGGGCAGCAGCGCCGCAGCGCCCGCTCAAAAACCTTCCACGGCGAAAAGTAAGTGCTGCACTGGAATATTGGAATGCTGGAATGCATTACTAAAGATCTATCTCTCTCTCTCTCCCTTTAGATTCCTTCGACTTGAGCGACGCCCAGAAACTGCAGCGGCTCGAGGCACAAAAGTCTGACAAATGGCATCCGTTTGCCGAAGGCGAGGTGATCCTGAAGCGCGGCCTGGTGAACAAGCGCAAGGGTCTGTTCGCCCGGAAGCGGATGCTGCTGCTGACGACGGGGCCGCGGCTCATCTACATCGATCCCGTGCAGATGATCAAGAAGGGCGAGATACCCTGGAGCCCGGAGTTGCGAGCGGAGGTCAAGAACTTCAAGATCTTCTTCGTGCATACGGTAAATTGGTTTCTAGTATTTTATGCGGTATTTTTGTTGCCGTTGCTGTCATTCCGCTTTTATTGGCTCTAGGCCTATTTATATTGCTGTTGCTTGTGGCAGTCGCAGCTGCTGACAGTTTGTTGAACCGTAGCGACTAATGATGACGTCAAGTGTCATAAAAAAAAGAACAACACCTACAAGCACACACACACATACAAAGAGGGTTCAGTTTATAGCGACGGCACGTGTTTACGACCGAACAACAACAACAACAACAACAACAATAAATAACTCAATTATATGCGACATTGAAAACTGCACACGCAACACAGATAAAACACAAAAAAACGCATTAAATGACAATAGTTTTTAATGGCTTTCGGTCACACTTTTTCATTCGCACACACACACACATATGCATATGTATTGTATTTATGCATAGCTCTAACCAGTTGCTGTGCCTTACATACAGTTACACGCTCTCTTACGCTCTCTCTTTCTCTCTCCGTTGCAGCCCAATCGCACCTACTATCTGGACGATCCCCAAGGCTATGCCATACAGTGGGTCGAGGCAATTGATAACATGTCGAAACTGTGCTACGGCGATGCGGCCCTTAGCTCGACGCCGGCGACGACAACAGGTGGCGCCAGCGATGCAGCAGCGGCGACGTCGACTGCGACGACGAGCATCTCCTCGTTCGCCTGCTCGACGGGCGGCAGCAGCAACAGCCTCGCCATAGTCGGCAACACGAATTCGCCTGCCTCCAACAACAGTTCGCCGACAGCGCGGCGAAGTTCGCCGGCGCAGCGACAGCAAATGGAAACAACAACAACATCGGCAGCAGCAGCAACAACAACAACAGCAACAACAGTTAGGGGCAAAAAGACAGCGTCCAATTGAACAGCTGAACACGTGTCGTGACTGTTGTCGTTATTTAGATTTAAATGCAAATTAAATTCTAATTTAGTTGAAATTTAGTGCAAACAACAAACACCTAGAAGATACCCACACACACATATACATATACAAAAACACACACCCATAAATACACACACATACATACTGAGAAATAAGTTAGAAATGCAAGGAATGTGTCGAAATTTGTTGAAATATCAAATTAACAATTTAATTTTCGTGCTCGTCTCTCGTCTGAATGTTTGATCAATTTGTGCATATATAAAAATAGAGAAAGGGTGGGTGGGACATAGACGGAGAGAGAGAGAGAAAGAGAAAGAGAGAGAGAGAGTGGGGTGAGAGGGAGTGTAAAACTAAAAAACATATATAGAATACAATTATAAGCAGAAGTACGTATGAAAAAATATATACATAAATTTAAATTAAATTTAAACTAAATTAATTTAAATTAAATTAAATTATTACCACAAAAACACATACACATAAACATATTTATAAAAAAAAAAAAAAAAAAAAAAAATTAAAAAAAAAATACAAATTATAAATGTTTATGTCCCACTGTGCAGGCGAGCTGCGCTTATTTAGTGCCTATTTGCACCGATAGATGGCGCCAGCAGCTTGTAGGCATAGTTTAAAAACAAATTTTTTTTAGCTAGTAGTTAGTCACAATTTAAATGAATTACAGAAGTGGAAGAAGAAGAGAAGCTAAAGCTGCGGCGCCATTGGGCAGCGGCCACAGCACAGTGGGACAACATAAGCTAAACTAAAACTAAAATAAATTAAATTCAAATTGTATTCAAAACTAGCAAATGATATATATGTTTATATATATATATATGTAAAATTATATAACTGTAAAAAATATATATACACACACACATACATACATACATTAATAATTAAAAAGGAGAGTGTGTTGTTTTTCTGTCGCCTAACTGTAAATTGTAATCTATGTAAATCTAATATATATGCATATATATTTATGTAAACATAATTCTATATATATGTATGTGTATAGAATAACTGTACATTAGCTATATGCGCACGTCTAAAGCGAACTAAAAAAAATATGCCTAAATCGAAGAGAAAGAGAAAATAGAATAACCGTAGCTTAGCGCGGGCGACACCAGATGGCGCCACACAGCGCACGCTCAAAAAAAAAAAAATGTTCTAGTAAGAATTTTTGTTCAAAGTTTTTTGTTTGTTTTTTGATTTCTTTAATTTAATTTATATGAAATGCTTTTTTGCCCTATAAAGAAACGTATAAGACTTTGAGAAACTATTTAAAAGAAAAGAAAAAAAAAATTCAAAAAAAAAAAAAAAAATTATGCAAGCAAAACAAAAACCAAGAAAACTAAAAATAAAAAATAAATAAATACAAAAAAAAATATATATATATATTATGTAAAAAAAATTTAGTTTAAATTAAATTTGGCTTTATTTGCAAAAAAAAAAAAAAAAAAAACTATATATATATAAATAATATATTTGTATTTATGTTTTTGTGTATTTTTTGTTGTGTTTTTGCTTCGCATAAGACAGAGTAAGAGAGAGAGAGATAGGGAGAGAGCAGTGTAAAGTTAGCTTGAAAAGTAATGCAAAAAACAGGTATAAAATTGAATTTTAATATAAATTAAACAAAAAATAATTTAACTTTAAAAAATTTATAAAATATAAATGAATTTTTTTGGTTTATAAAAAAATGGAAAAAAGTTTCTAAAACTCGCGCGTATTTAGTTCAATTGTAAAGCCTAAGTTATGCCTAGACCACGCCTACAACACACCCACATACACACACACACACTCAAACTACTTAGACTTAAGCCTGTGAGAGAAAGAGAGAGCGAAAGCGAGAGAGTGGTAATGAAAGAAAGCAAAAAATACATTTGTACATACATATCGCGTCCCACATTTGTTTTCAATGATGGGCGTGGCCGTAGCAGCAATTTACCTATATATATATACACGTATATATAGTACAGTTAAGTTACGCAAGTATACAATTAATTCAATTAAAATTTAATTAAATTAAACTAAATTATAAACTAAGCTTAACAAAAATTGTATAATTTATTAAATCGCAAAGAGAGTTATGTAAGCAAAAACAAAAACATACAAAAAACTAAATAGTGAGAGCAAATTATGTAAATTATTAAAAAACACACTCACACACACACCCACACACACATAGCATATATATGTATATATAACAGTACACACATCTATATATATGTATATGTATAATTAAATTAAATTGAATTGGTTACAAAAAATACAAGAAGAAGAAAAACAAATTGAGAACGTATCATTAAAAATTACAAATTAAAAAAAAATCAAACAAAAACAAAATATATTAATGAAAAAACATAAAATTTTCAAAAACTACAAAAAATTATGAAAAAATTGTTTTTATTTCGCTTTGGTTCACAAAATTGGCTGCGTTTTTACTTAAGTTTCGACTTAAATGAGAAGAAGAAGAAAGCTAGATGATGAAGAAGAAGAGAAATACTTCCATTATCCAAGTTGAACTAGTTCCATCATCCAAACATTTCCCCCCTCCCCACATACAAAATGCGAAATGCAAAATCTAGAGAACTTAAGCATAGGTTTCGACAACAACAACACTTTACACTGAACGAAAAAGTAGATGTCTATTTAAGAAAGAGAAGAGCAGAGAAAAGGAAAGACGGAGAATATAAGAGCAGTTCGATTGAAAGAAAATGATAGATAGAGTTGGAGTAAACCTCGGCTTACCGAAGTTTTAATACCTTTGCAGAACTACATTAAGAGAGAGAGAGAGGGAGTGAGAGAGAGAGAGAGAGAAAGTAAGGGGCTGAGAAAATTGTCATATAGTCGAGTCAGCATCTTCAGTGAGCAAAGATACAAAGAGAGCTAAAAACTTGTTTCTATGCAGACAAATAGAGATCTAGAATATCTCACTCTCTCTCTCTCTCTCTCTTTCTTTCTCTCTATCTCTCTCTTTCTCTCAGTACAACTTCTCGTATAGCCCCTCTGCAAAGGTATTATGCCTGACATAGTGCAGAAAAGTTTTTCATTTGATTTGTGCTGCAGTACCTAAAACCGAAGTCCACACAGACTTGAGAGTGAGGATGTAGCCAATCCTAAGCCCTATATATACGTATATATACAATCCCTGACTCCACCATATACACAATTCCTCAGATACCCATTAGAAATATCTAATTTTTGCAGCTCTGTCAAAGGAAGAAGAAGAAAGTGCCTAGTGAACCAGTAGAAGAGTTTAGATCCTAAACTTTGTCGATATCTCCCCTATTATATCGAAGTATATATACACAAACAAACACACACACAGAGACATAGCATATACTAAATACTTGCGAGAAAGTTTCTTAAGCCGGGGCAAATGTATACGATTTATATGTAAGGTTAGGTTGAAATCGAAACTTTAATAGAATCCAATTGGTAATGGGGCATTCTAGTTAGAATACAATTGGCAAAGATGGCAAGAAATTTACGGAATGTGTGTGTGAGAGAGAGAAAGAATGTTACATATATATTTATTAATCTAGTATTAAATAAACCCAATTAGTATCCAATTGGCAAACACCACAAGGAACTCCGTTTTGTGTTCAACTTTGTATGTGTGAGAGAGAGAGTGAAATGAGTGCCCGTTATTCAAATAGAATCCTAATCCTAATTAGACTCCAATTGGCGGTTAATTGATCGGAATTTCGTTTTGTGTTCGAGCTTGAAAACGCGGAGAGAGTGTGAGAGAATGGAAGAGAGTGTGTGTTCCTTCAGTTGGATTTTGTGTGTGTGTGTGAGAGAGAGATAAAGAGATAGAAATGTTTGATTTACTTAAATAAAATCCAATATCAAATGGAATCCATATTGGAATCTTATTGGCAAACTTTACAAGGAATTTCAATTGTGTTCAAGAAAGGGTTAGAGAGAGAGAGAGAGAGAGAGAGAGAGAGAGAGAGAGAGATAGAGCGAGAGAGGAAGGGAGAGAGGGAGTATGCATGTGTGCGTGTTATTTAGTTATGGCAAATTTTTTAGTGCAAAACATTAACCGATAGTTAATATGCAGACATATTTATACGTATATATTTATATATAGATATATATGTACATATATATAGCCAATATGAAACGAGTTCATACACAACTATCTGCATATATACTTACATATGTATGTGTATGCATATGTGTATATGAATCTACATGTATTGGAATATTCCACATTGTATATTGATAAATTCGTGAGCGAATCGATCCGTTTTATCCAAGTTCAATCTCTAGGGGTGCTAGACTGAGTTATATATAAATATTATATATATATATATATAAAAATAAAAATATATACATAAACGTAAAAAAAAACTCTTAACGTAAACGTAATTCAATTACCTTTCTGCAAAAGAATAAAGTATCAAATACACCAGACTAATTTGCAATCTATATGTACAGACCTACATATTTGTATACCTATATACATATTATATATATACATATATATATACATGCATTATAAAGTTACAACCTTCCATAAACCTGGCCCTAAAGGTACTTTGTAACACCATAAAAACACACAAAAACAAACACACAAACATATATATATATATATAAATAATATATATAAATATATATATTTACATATATAGTTTTTAAGCAAAAAAAAAAAACAACTATAAATTATTATGAGCATAAAATACCTACACAGACACACATACAATTCCTAAGATCGAAGAGGTATATATACATACATATATATAAACTGTCTAAAATTCGACTGCAATGTTGTATTTTTCAGCACGTAAAATAAACAGAGAAACTAAAACTAAGTTCAAAAAGCAAAAGTTCGTTACATTCAGCAGGCAATCGCGTGCTGTTTGACAAAAATGGAAATTCCCCCAAAACAAATTTCCCCCTCAAAATGTCCCCACAACATACAAACTAACTATTTAATATTCGCAAGAAAAAAAAAAAAAAAAAAAAAAAAAAACAAAAACAAAGAGAAAACACCAGAAAAGAAAATACAGTTTGTTAATGAAAATTAAGGTTTGAGACATGTAAAAAAGAGTTGCGTGCAAGTGGTTTGATTGAGAATAAAAACTAAAGGAGCAAGTGAAGCAACAGAGAAGAAAAGAAAAACAGAAAATGCGAAATGTGTTTTAATTTCAACGGCTGAGCAAGTGGCATAGCAATTAGCTGCTGTCAGTGCTGCAAAGCACTGAACTGCTTGAAACGTCAACGAGCCAAGCAGTCAGCTGGAGTGCTAAGCATTTCGTTATTGCATTGAGTGAAACAGCCATACTGTTCATGGGGGTGCTGTAGCAGCGAACTTGGGATGGGCATGAAAGATTTCGCGCTGGTCTGAACAGTGCTGTAACAATTAGCTGTTGACGGAGCTACCTAAATCAAGCAGACAGTCGAAGTGTTATA